ATAAATCTTATCAATCAGAGGAAATTCCCAAGGTCTTTGCTTCTCTAAGCTTCAATGAACAAATTGATCCAGCCTTGTTTACAGATTCAGGAGCCTCTACCCATGTCATGAATGATACAGGTAAGCTCTCACATTTTAAAACTTACAATGACAGTGAACAATTATATATTGGAGATGGTATTGGAAATGGGTTCTATTAATGCTAGTTTAAACCAGCTTAAACTAAATAATGTGCTTGTTGTTCCTGAAATTAAAAAAAAATTGCTGTCGGTGATTAAATTAGCTTTAGACAACAATTGCTCCATCATTTTTAATGCTAATGGTTTTGTGATTAAGAATCAACAGAGACAGATTTTGGGCAAGGGAACTAAACGAGAAGGCCTCTATGCCTTAGTTGAGGAAAATAAAGAAGCCTTCCAAGCCTTTATAACCACTACAAACAACAATAAGGCCCTTATTCTTTTTGGCATAAGAGAATGGGACACCCCAATGATCTTTATCTTAAGCATCTCAGTGATTCTCATCTTTTGAAATTGTCTAATTGGAAAGATCATAACTCTATTTGTGATTGTTGTCAAATGAGTAAAAGCAGCAAGTTATCTTTTAAATCTAGCTAGCAATAAAATAAGCACGTTTCCTTTAGAGAAGATTCATTGTGACTGATGGGGTCCCTCTCCTATTGCTTCATGTCAAAATTTCAAGTATCATGTTAGCTTTGTTGATGACTTCTCTAGATTTTGTTGGTTGTATCCTTTAAAAAAAAAATCAGATTTCCTCTCTTGCTTTGTCAAATTTCAAAGACTTGTTGAAAACCATTTGGAAAGAAAGATTAAGTACTTCCAAAGCGATGGTGGTGGTGAATTTAACATTCAAGGGAAATCTTTGAACAAAAAGGTATTTTTCACCAATTTTCTTGTCCTCACACTCTCCTCAACAAAATAGAGTTGTGGAAAGGAAGCATAGACATATGGTAGAAACTGCTTTAACTCTCCTATTTCAATCTCATGTTCCCTTAAATTATTGGGTTGATGCTTTTTTGACTGTTGTCTTTCTCATCAATAGAATGCCATCAAAATCCATTAACATTCAAACTCCATTTTTTAAACTTTTTGGAAAAGAACCTGATTATAGTGTAATTAGAGTCTTTGGCTGCAAATGTTTCCCTTGCTTAAAAAGAGATTACAACAAAAGCAAATTATCAAAGAGAACCTATCCTTGCATTTTTATAGGTTATAGTCCTATCCATAAAGGATATAGATGTTTAGATGCTTTATATAATAGAATTTACATATCAAGACATGTAATATTTGATGAAAGCATGTTCCCATTTGAAGAACAAATCAAAACTAACAAAAATAAGGAGGAAAACTCTTTAGTTGTTTATGAATATATAGGATTTGAAGATTGGTTTCACGCCAACAATAAAAGTGGAGGATCAACCATCAACACCAATACAAAAAGCAAAGGGATGAACCAATTAAACCACAACAGATAACAACACAAACTGATTGAGGAGCCAACACCAGATGTTACTCAAGATGGAGAAGAACAAAACGTATGGCCACCTATACCTACTGATTGCTCACAAGAGGAGCAATCCACCCCTCCATCCAGACAACAAAATATAGATGGCCCAGCAAGTTCCTCAACCACCATCACCAATAACCAACATGAGATTTATGCATCTGGAAACACTCCAAATAATGAGGAAAATTCCAGTCACATACCGTAAATGCAGATTTTAAACAAACAATAGGTATCTCAACCGCCGGATATAAGTAAAATTTTTTAACTATTGACATTTTTCCATCTCTTGCAGGCACAAATGCAACAAATCAGCCAAGCTCTAGGCAAGAGCAGCCACAAAATAGAAGTCAAGCAATTGGAAAAATAGCTTTCAAGGATCAAGCCTCATCAATACATTCTATGGTCACAAGAAGTAGACTTAGAGAAAATACCCATCTGAAAGAAATTAAACCTTTGGACAAGGAGAACCAAATAAGCCACAAAGCTTTCTTAGCTCTTGATCCTACCAGAGAACCCAAAAACTACAAAGCAGCCCTAAACATCCCTCATTGGAATGTTAAGGATCCCAAATTGAAAAGAGAGAGGACCTAACAATGGTTTATAATAGATATGGGCTACTCCTCTCATTGTCAATTGGTTTTAAGATGGAACCCATGAATATTAATATGGTATCAGAGCCCAAAACACTCAAACGAGAAATCGGTCCAAAAATGGGATCCGACCAAGATCGATTACCCAAAAGAACCACGATCTTGAGGGGGCATGTTAAGGATCCCAAATTGAAAAGAGAGGGGACCTAACAATGGTTTATAATAGACATGAGCTACTCCTCTCATTGCCAATTGATTTTGAGATAGAACCCCATGAATATTAATATGGAAAACTGCTATGGAGGAAGAAATTAAGGCCTTGATACAAAACCACACATGGGACCTAGTTGATCCTCCTCAATCCACCAACATAATTGGATCAAAATGGATATTCAAGACAAAATTTGAGGAAGATGGATCTATACAAAGATACAAGGCACATCTTGTAGCCCACAGATATTCTCAAGTAGAAGGAGTAGATTACGAAGAAATCTTTAGTCTAGTAGTCAAACCAACAACCATTAGACTAATCATAGCCATAGCAATTACTACTGGATGGGACTAGGCAACTCGATGTCAAAAATGCCTTTCTTCATGGATTTCTTAAGGAACAAGTATATATGACACAACGACTTGGATTATGTCATATTGAGTGGTCTGCAAACTCAACCAGTCCCTCTATGGGTTAAAAAAAGCCCCAATAGCATGGTTTGAAAGACTTTCACACTATCTCCTTCACATTGGATTTACTTGGTCTTAAGCTGATCCCTCCCTATTTATGTTTAAGGAACGATCCACTCTTATATTAATGCTTGTTTATGTTGATGATATAATTTTGACAAGTAACAACACCAAGGAGATAGGAAAATTAATCAATCAACTAAGCATAGAATTCGCCTCGAAGACCTTGGAGACCTTCACTTCTTCCTTGGGATAGAAGTTACTAAACTACCTACTGGAGTGTTCTCAACTCAGCACACCCAAGGCGGTCACAACCACCCCATCCACTAATGACAACAATTTAGTGTATGCAACTGAATACAAAAGTATAATGGGATCATTGCAATACCTAACTTTTATCACCTATGTAGTAAACAAAGTGTGCCAAAACCTTCAAGAACCCAAGCTCAAAGATTTGAAGGCAGTAACACGAATTCTCAGATACATTAGAGGAACTCTAAGGTATTGAATAAATTTTCAGAAAAATAGTAACCTAAACTTGTATGCTTTTTGTGATGCAGATTGAGGTGGATACCCAGAAACAAGAAGAAGCACATCAGGTTCTTGCATCTTTCTAAGATCAAACTGCATCATATGGAACTCAAAGAAACAATCAACAGTTGCAAGATCCAGTTCTGAAGTAGAATATAGAGCTATGGTTACCACCACTGCAGACCTTACTTGGATTACTTTCTTGCAAAGAGACATTAGAATTCGACTACTCAAAACACCACAACTTTTTTGTAACAAAATGAGTGCCATTCGTATGGCCAAAAATCCAGTATTTCATGCACGAACGAACGAAGCATATGGAAATGGATTATTATTTTGTAAGATAAAAAGTTTGTCTTGGTCTCCTCACAACAAAGTATGTACCATCCAAGAAGCAACTAGCTGACATCTTTACCAAGCCCCTCGCAAAATCTCATTTCAAGGAATTGATCAGAACCAATCTAGGAGTACATGAAATGCACTCTAGATTAAGGAAGGATATTGGAAATGATCAAACTAATGACTCAACATTAAACGGATTCTTCTCTCATGATCATCAATTAGCAACAAATCATGCTCAATTAGCATGATAATTATTGCCAATATCATGGGTCAAATTCCACCTGCTAGGGAAGGAATATCACACCTCATAATAAAATCCATTCCAGATACCTTGAGAATTTCCTTAAAAAGCAATTCTTTCCGTTGCTTTGTTAATATAATATTACTTCCTTGGACAGCTTGCATCAGACAGTAATGATTCCCTATTGGTTTCTACTTTACCTTTATTAGTTTTCTTTTATCTAGTAACTCTTTTGTGCAGATGTCTATATTTATCCATTGTTTTTCTTTGACTGAGGGCAATTGGAATGAATTGAGTTTCTTTGCAGCAACTTGTTTATTTTATTTTACATATTTCTATTTCGTTTTTAAATTTTATTTCTGATTTCAAAAAGATACATGATTGTGGGAACTATTTATGTTTCTTATTCTTTTTTAATACAATGTTTCTTATTTCTTATTTTCAAGGAATGTTTTCACAACTCTATACAAATTATAGATATAACAAAATTTAGTTTTTATTTTTGTTCTAATCCTCAATTTTCTAAAAACATAATTTCTTTTATTTATAATATGCATGATTTTTTTTTTAAAGAACTTATAATATGCCGGATAGATATTCAAAAGACTGAATATTTTATTTTTTATAATTAATTTTTATATAAAACTTTGAATTTTTTTAATTCAAATTCAAGAGTATGCGAAAACAAAAAATAGGGTACACTAAAAACATTTTTTTATTAAAAGGAGAGACAACAAGACACCATAAATATACTGTTATGGAATAATCTTGTTTTTCTTTTCTTGAAAGCAGACGAAATGAAGAAAATAGCCAGAGAGAAGATGGACACCAGAGGATTTTAAAGTGGTTCAGCTTAAAGCCTACATCCACTGTGTATCGGCAGCAACACTCAATTCTTGGAGGAAAAAATTACAAAAGGAATTCATATCTCTCCGGGAGAGCCTCTACACAGCAACTATTAAAGAAAAAAAAAGAAAGGCCCAAGCCCAAAAGCCCAAAGACATTTCAATTTGGCTTCAACACGTGTAAAGCACATATACTAACAAGCATAGTTTTATTTCTTAAAATATTTCTTAAAATAAAAAAAAAAGAAATAAGAAACAAGAAAAATGGGTTCTTTTGTAACACTCTATAGATATATAGTGCTCTCCTCAGTTAGAAATGACACATGATTAAATCATCCATGAACCAAAAATGTAAGTCGATGGATTTGAGTAAATTTAATCATTTATTATATAGAGGATATATAACACGTATCACCAATGGTCTAAGCTATTTTATCCATTCAGTGGATGCAGCCCTAGCCAGAGATTGATCTTCATCATCGGCTGAAATGTTCCAAAGAAAGTAACCAAGCATTTCCAAGTTTTTTTTAACTCTTGAAATCTTGAAACTTATGGTGTCTTCATCTTCGTAGGCAATCCCAGTTGAATCACAGTGTGTGTAGGCAATTGCAAACCTTTGGTCCAACACCACATTGTTGGCATCATTCTCAGCTATAAATTTCTTAACATTTCTATACTCTATGAGACCTTCCATGGAAATATCCTGTCCTTGAGCTGCTCCTTGGGCTGGTGCAAACACTCGGGGATTTCCAGAACAATTAAGCTTCCATGCCCAACCATGGAAGGGAACTCCAAATACCATCATTTTACTAGGCAAACCTAACCGAATCCATGTTCTGATACCTGAAAATTCCACACAATGTTAGTAGGTTCATTTAGAAAGTAGGGTGAGTTTTTTCAGTAAAAAGGAAACATGTTTTTAGGAGTGGGCTAGATTTTGGAGATTGTGATTGTGAGTAATGCTTTAACTAATTGAGCTGTTCTCGTATCGACAGAGATTAGTTGTGGTACCGAAAGATGTGCAACAAGATATATAGATATCTACTTCTTTTTTATAATAACTCATTTTCTCTGTTTAATTCATTTTATCTGTCCCTACAAACCAACAAACCAACATGGGTCCTTACATGATGTTTTGCCCTCACTTGCCTGTTTTCTAGAAAAATCACCTAAATAGGTCATCAGGTTACCTGGACATCCAACCTAAAATTGTTCCAAAGCTAAGCACGTAGGCTTAACTTAAAGTTGGTATTATTAAACCACCTAGAAGAAAGATATACTTTTGTTGATATAGATAGTTACTCTCAATTCTTTTAAGCATTTACTAATTATGCTTATATGATCTAAAGATCTATACTTTTTGGATGTGGTGTTTAGTTCATATTCATGTACCCCTCTACCGATCAGGTGTCACACGTACCCTTCCAACTTTCACTTGGTTTGTCCTCCAACCACCACATCTGGGAGATATTATATATGATACCATTTGTAACACCCATAATAGTTTTAACATATCATTTTCAACATATTAAAACACACCAGGTAGCAAAAACAAAAATAAAACTCATATGAAAGGAAAACCATAATCAATTTATTATAAAACACAATACCAAAGTCTCCAGACGAGGATCTTCTCCTTGGATTGAAGAATGCTGAGGATGGTCCAACTTCATTGCTTGACAAAATAGGGGTGAAAATATCATAAGCAATAACATTAACCCAATCCAAAGTTCTTCGAATTGCTTGAATTGGATATGTAAGGTTCTCTAAACGAGGTGAGTAGAAGACTGTAGCAACAAAAATCAATCGTGGTTCCTTAGATTCTCTGGATTCTCTAATAATAGCTCTGTGACACTCAATAATTAGAGCTTCAAAGTTGGCCATGTCCTCCACAGAAGAAGGGTACAGCCACTGAAGATCAAGGCCATCAAAATTGCCCTCCCTTGCTTTGGAAATGGAGGATCTAATAAAGGCTGCACGATGGGAAGAATGGGCAGCCATGGCACCAAATCTCTCAGCCTTTGCATCATCTCCTCCAATGGAGAGCAAAGTTTTCAGCTCAGAATTGTTTTCTTTGACAGTTTGAGAGAAGTGATGAATTAGAGGTTTTGCTGAATCAGAAATGGAGAGTTCATAAGTTTGGGAGTTGAGACCAGCATGGCCACAGAAGAGATGGGTGTAAAGATTAGCATCAATTCTGGAGGCTGGAAGCTGGGAACTGGTGTGGGTGAACCAGTAGCCAGCATTCACAAAATTATTGCAGGCCATTTGATTTAGACAGAACTGGCGGAAGAAGAAGAAGAGAAAATTGAAGGAAATTAAACCATATATGTTGTGGTTATAAATTGATCAATTTCATATATATAAAATACCCATGACCAAGTCATTTACTCTGTTTGATTAAACTAATATATCTATCTAACTTTCCTTTGTCCTATTAGCTCTAATGGGTTAAATCTTTCCATGTATTTTAAATTTAAGCCAAATAGATCCAATTTCAACGAGAAATTATTATATGTTATATATAATTTTAAACATTAATTATGTATTCTGTAAGTCAAGATTCATAAAATAATACCTCTATTTATTTATAAAAAAATGGTTGTTTCTAAATCACCTAGACAATTTTCTTAACATTTATTTCAGATGAGAAACTAAGGGAAAAACAAAAAAAGTTACTAGTTACCAAAAAACCGAACAAGAAAAAGAAACGGAAACGTATCGACTTAAATCCAAACTTGTTTCAATTATATATCATTTTGCAATTGAAACTAACTGATGATGTGTATTCCTATTATGTTTAAAGAAAAAATTTATACGTTCAAGCTATGATTGGAATGATCCCCACACCATTATACTACTCTTAGAGACCTTAATTTTTACTGTTTTTATTTCTGCTGCTTTTCACCCTCCATCCATCCTTTGAGAATTGTGGTATTGATAAACTATCAATATTCATGGGTTTCATCTCAAAACTAATTCACAATGAGAGGAATAGCCCACTTTCTTTTGACTCAGTGATCTCCTATCTGTTTTTTGGACCGGATGCTTGTTTGAGCTTTTGGGCTCTAGCTTATGGATATCTCAACACTCCACGTAGGGATTTGAGCACAGGACCTCCCACTCTGATACCATATTAAAGATGAATAAACCATCACTCAACCCAAAAACTTAAGCTAATAGGTTGGGTAAATTATATGGCTTAAACTAATAGGTTGGATAAATTAAATTCATATATATTTGATATCTAACATAAACATTGGCAACACTCACACAAAGATGAATTCCCGGTAAAATCCATGAAAACCAACCTTCCTATCTCTTCTCTTGGCATTTCTACAGACTAGCTTCTTCATCAGCCATTGTGATTCAAAAAATGCAAATTCTTCATTTGGTGTGTTATCCATCGTGGTCTTAATACTCACGACAAGCTTCAGAAAAGGTATCCTTCTCTTTGCTGCAATCCAAATTGGTGTGTTTTATGTCAATGCTCCCATAAATCTCTAGATCACTTATTTCTCCACTACACATATTCTTTCAATATTTGGTCTCTTCTTTTTGATACCTTTCAAATCTCCCTCCCACTCCCCGATAGCATTGGTTCCTTTCTGATGGAGTCCTTGTCACACTCAAACCGCAATAGAAGATCTATTCTTTGGAGCAATGCTGTGGGATCCATTATCTGGAGCATTTGGTTATGGAGCGAAACAGTCGTACATTATCTAATTTATATAGATCTTATTTTCATCTTTGGGAAGATATCAAGACCTTAGCATCCTCATGGTCTTGATCAAAATCTCCTTTTCTTGTAATGATGATATATTGACCATTTCGCTGAACAGGAGAGCGTTTGTTTAGTCTCCCTTTGGTATGTGTGTTTATGACCTATCTCTTAATGAAATGGTTTCATTTTCAAAAATAAAAATAAAAACTTTGTTTATACCAGAGTTGCAAAAGAGTTTAACTTTAACCGTTTTTTCAAGTGCATATTTTCCGTTCAAGATGATGATAAAAATCAATTGACAATATGAGCTGTAGCCTATTTATATTATACACTCTTGTATATTCTTTATCTCTTCGCTATGAGATTCTTTAACAAACATTATAGATCTCTTCCTCATTCTGCCAATTTCTTACTAACTTGATTTTTTGCAAATTATTTAATCATAAAGAAACTTCCTCGATAAATCTCCCAGGAAAATTCTCATAAATTACCAACCATTTTGACCTTTATTATTTACCTTATTTGTTAAAGCAATGACATAAAGGTTTGGTCTAAGAGCTGATTTTTAGCTTTTTGCCATGGGAGAACAGTTCATCTCCATAGTTGATTTCTTCTCTTACCTCTATAAAAATATGATCTTTGTATAATTAGTTCGATATATTGAAAAGCTGCCGTGAATGAAAATTTGGCTTTCTTAATCAATCCTATTTCTTGATCAATGAAGTTTGACGAGTAGAAATATATTATAGAAAGGGATCAATTTTGGTTTGTGGCAATGCAAGTCAATGTCCTATACAAAGTTGGGTTACACGGAGAAGACAAAGAAGTGATGCTTTCAATAAGTTAATTAAGTGATGATGGTGGTCAAATGGATTCTGGTGTGGTTCCATCGGAGGTTTTAAAAAATTTAATACAAGTGATGAAGATGGGAGAAAATGAATTTGAGGGATGGAAGTGCAATATGACTAAGTTGTGCTGAAAATGCTTTTTGCAAATGGGTCCGAGTCGTATGTGGGTTGCTGCACGCCAGGGTGCGGGAGCCCGTCCAGGTCAAGGATCTTCCCAATATATTTTCTCAACAAAAAAATAAAATTAGGTGAAAAAAATTCTAACGTCAGTTAGGAAAACGATTGAATACGATAACGAGACCATTCACAATGGAACAAGAAGATCACAAACTCGCAACTTTGCCAGAGAAGCGACTAGTCGCCTCCGCCGAAAGATGCTTAGCCAAAAGCGACGAAGGGGGAAACTGTCGTAGAAGTTTTGCCCTTTGGATCTTGGTTGGCCTTTCATCCCTAGTCGTTCTTTGAGAAGCAACTGCATTCTCATCTTCCGAACATCTACCTTTAGAGGTTCCAATATTCCTAGAAACGGAGAGCCTCTTGCCTCGCCTTTTCTAGCCTCTCCTTCATACTTGCTTACCTAGCGCCACGACAACAGAGGGGAGGATCGAGCTGGGTGGTTGAAAAACAAGGGGAAGAGGGTCCGATGGATGGACAAAACCATCAACCTGTACATGTAGTTCACGGAAAGACAACCCGCATTTCATTTTATTGGATACATCAAGACCTCAAATCTTACACACACAACACAAAAGACAATAGAAACTACAAAACATAAAAATCTCCTACTTATTTGGGCAGCCTCAGCCACGAATTGGCTTTAGCTGCGTTAGCAAGAGTGTTAACATCATCATCGGCTGCAATGTTGGAAGCAAAGTAGCCAAGCACGTGGAGGGACTTTGCCAATCTAAGCTTCTCTGGTATGGTTACTTCATTTTCGTAGGCAATCCAAGTTGTATCAAAATATGTGTACCCAATTACATATTTGCCGTCATTTTTTAGATTCTTAGCCTTATTACTCTCTATAAACTTCTTAATATTGGAGTAGTAGATTTGGCCATCTGAAGAAATATCGTGTCCTATTGCTGCTCCATCCGCCTCCGAAAACACGTCGTGCTGGAGACGATCGGCAAGTTTCCATGCCCAACCGTGGAAAGGAATTCCAAATACAATCTGTTGGGAAGGCAAATTAGGATAACATTTGATCCATGCCTCGATACCTGTTCCATAAATTCAACACGAGTAATCAGAGGTTTTTTAGTACAACAACATGTGGGGTGGGAATTCGAACACACGACTTTTTGGTCGAAGTTACATATCTTGACTAGTTGAGATAGACTTAGATTGACACAAATAACCGGTGTTAAGAATGCATGAAAAGAGCAAATGAAATGGAATTAAGGAACGGTGGGTGTGCAGTTTGAAAAGATAAGAAACCTAACAAATGTTTATGATATACCAATCCTATAAATAATATTAATATTGTGCCCCTGCCCAAAAGCTCAAACTAGCTCTCCTATCCAAAATCAGATCTGTTAAAATAATGAGATCTAATAAAGGTTGCCACTTGGTTTTGATTTCCATATATTCCACCAAGCATATGCCAAAGCACACACTAATTATTGAAACACCAAGTTTATGATCCCTGTCAATCTTAATATTGACCATTTTTTTTAGTACAACATATTAGGGAGGAGATTCGAACTCACAACCTCTAGTTAATTACCGTTGAGGTATGTTCGCTTTGGCCAATCTTAATATTGACTAACAAAAAAAATCACACAATTAAGTTTTGATATTTGTTAACATAAAGATCGTAAACAATACAAACAAAAAACACACACATATATATATTAGAGACTAAAACACATATTTAGCGTTTGAATTAATTCATACCGGAATTTACAGACAAGGAGTCTGTCTTTGGATTGTAGAGTGCTGAGGATGGTCCAGTACACTTCACTGAAGAAGTCGGAGTGTAAAAATCATAAGAAAAAAGGTTGACCCAATCCAAGGTTTGTATTATTGTATCAATTGGATACTGAATATTGTGGTGTACAATGGGCAAATTGGAGACTGCAGCAACAAGGATCAACTGTTGTCTATGGTAATTCCTAGCATCCTCAACAACAGCGCTATGCCACTCAATAAGAAGGCTTTCGAAATTTTCCATTTCTTCTTGAGAAGATGGGTACAGCCACTGTAGATCCAAGCCATCAAACGTTCCCTCTTTTGCTTCCTTAATCGAGGACTTAATAAAGGTTTCACGATTTTTGGGTTCGCTAGCCATTTTAGCGAGTACGCTTCCATCTCCTTTGATGGATAGCAGAGTTTTGACTGTCGGATTGCTTAGACTGACAGTCAAAGTAAAATAATTGATTATCGTAGCTTCTGAAGAATCAATGGTGACCTCGTAAGTTTGGGGGTTTACAATAGCATACCCGCAAAACAGATGGGTGAAAAAGTTAGCATCGATATTGGCAGAAGGAAGCTCGGCATTGGTGCTGGCAAACCAGTAAGCAGCACGGACAAAACTTGGGTCCATTTAGAAAAGGAAACAAGTTTGCTGAAATTACACTAGACCTAGATGTAACTATGTGGTGGTTGCTGTTATATATAATATATGCTCTCAAAAATCAAACCTTCCTATTTCTTTGAATTATATATTATAGGGAAAAGATATATATTTTTTTTGTCCTTGATCTAAAGTTTCAAAATTTAGAACTTTATCAAAATTAAAATTTATAATACGTATTTATTTGGTTGTTGAAGTTTTAAAATGGACATATTTTTCTTTTCTTCTCTAAGGAGAAAGAATTATAAAAGGATCATGGCTCGCTTTAGTTGACTAATCTGTGATAGTTAAATAAATGGTTGATTTGACAACATATATCTGTTTAATATTATATTTGTGAGTTTTATTTTTCTATTTTCTTCCTCCCTCATCTCCAGCAATTAATATTATTAATTATTGGTACATAAAATTTGAAATAAGTGTCTTTAAATTATATTAAAAAAGGTCTGTTTTGAAATTTGAGGAACCAATTAAAAAATTTTAGAGACTAACCATGTTCATGTGAATTTTCAGGAACCAAATATAGATACATATTTCAAACTTCGTAGATCAAAAAATATATTTTTTTATATATTATATTATGCTTTATACAATTTTTTTTTTCTTGTGAAAAAGATAATCATTCCATTAAAGTTACGTGAGAGACGTACACAAAAAGACAGAGGTTAGATGAAAGCGCTCCAATTTAGCGAAATGACAAAAACGAGAAGATTTTATAGTCGAGGAGGAAGCAAGACTTTAAATCTTTCCAAAGGATGACGGATGAAGAGGTGCAATCTATAAACGCTTGTTTCTCTCGAGCCAAACAGACAAAAGGATGTAGCCAACGACATTTTACCATAGGATGAATCTGCTGCCGCCAGAGTGAACTGGAGAAACTTCAAAAAGAAATGTTCAATCCGATCAGGGAGGGTAGTAGAAATATTATGCTTCATGCATACTCTTTCTATTTCATTAAACTAATTTATCTATCTAACTTCCTTGACTTCTCTTTTGATTAAACAAATTTATTGATCTAACTTCATTTTGTCTATATTAGCTGCGCTCTAATGTGTTGGGTCTGACGAAGTTTCTTTTAAAGGCTAAGAAATTCAAATTTCAAATGAGAATTATTGTCACACTTTTATTTTGTCTATAATATATGTACTTTTCCCACTTAATTTAGTCGACATTAATTTTACTAATATTTTAACCACCATCATTATTGGTTTCTTAAAAAAGACCAACATCTCGTCTACGTCATTGACATCTACTAAATAATTTATTATTGATTCTTATTTTCATACTAATTTTGTTAGTATAAGGCGTGGAAGTTTGAAACTCCGATATCAAGAGAATGAGTTATATATTTTACCGTGTTGTGCTCATGTTGACTTATTTTCGTATTCATACTTATTTAAAAGTATTCTATTTTATTGGGTCATTTTAATGCATGGATTCAACAAGAAAATAATGGATCTAAATCTCTCTTCTTGACATCACTCTATGCACTTCGATGGCTTGTTTCGTTGTAAATTTGTTTCATACCAATCTCACATATATACGATTACATCTCAAGTTTAATTCTTATTTGTTTATTGGTTAAAAATCACATTTTGTCTTTGTACTTTAACTAAAGTAACGATTTAGTCTTTTAACTTTCAAAAGTAACTTTTTATAGGGATTAAATCGTTATTTTTGAAAGTTTAGAGACTAAATCATTACTGTAGTTAAAATTTGGTTTTTAATCTTTTTTATATTTTATTATAATATTTCGTATTAAGGATCTCTCGCGTGGAAAAGATAAGAAGACCTAAATAAGATTTATGATATAAAATGGATGTACTATTCTTCTGTCATCAATCATTGGTTTTGTAATAGAACTTCATTAGTGTTAAGGATCTCACATTGATAAAAGAAGGGACTTAACAATGGTTTATAATAGACATGGGCTACTCCTCTCATTGCCAATTGGTTTTAAGATGGAACCCCATGAATATTAATATGGTATCAGAGCCCACAAGCTCAAACGAAAGAAGGGACTTAACAATGGTTTATAATAGACATGGGCTACTCCTCTCATTGCCAATTGGTTTTGAGATGGAACCCCATGAATATTAATACATAGATCTTTGATATATCCTTTTGAATTCCTTCATACATAGCATATTACCTATTTTCTATATATATATAAAAAGAAAGTAACCGGTGCTGTTCTTTGGAGTGTTTGGCTGGAAAGAAACAACCGATCTTTTCTGGATAAATCTCGCTCTTCTGCTCAACTTTGGGAGGATATTATAGTATTGGCATCAACTTAGTCCTCAAAATCCCATCCTTTTTGTAATTATAATTTCTCTATCATTTTTCTTAATTGGAGTGCTTTTATATAGCCTCCTTCTTTTGTATGTTTCTCACATACCCTTTTAATGAAATGGTTTCTCCTTTCAAAAAAACCTATCCATGAAAAAAAAGAAAGTAGTCTATCTAGAGATATCCAAATATAAATGATTAAATTTATCCTAATCCACCGGCTTAAATTTTTGGATTCATTGATCATTTAATCATGTTTGACACCTATTTTCTATTTCATTATTCTAACTTATATATCTAACTTATTTTTGCCTTATTATATTTTTTGCCTTATTATATTTCTCCAAATTCTAGCTAAGTAAATATTGGCTTACCCCTTCCATCTATTTCTTTAATTATGCCCACATATATTCTCTTATCGCTTTAGTCTTCTTTAATTAATATATGTCGCACTATTATTCAAAAACTCATCTTTAAGAAGGGAAAAAAAAACACCAAATAGAAGTTGACCACATTATATGTTAGTTTATTCTTATCACTTTTGTATTAATATTTAGTTAAGTATATGCTTCTTTATTCGGACTCATTATTTGCCAAATAACGAAAGATATCAAAGTCTTTGCTTTTACTTGGTCCCTAAATCTCATCTTTTTTTTTAATTATGATATATCTATTATTTCGTTGAATTGGAGTACTTACAAAATGGTTTCGATATTTTTTAGCAAAAAAAAAAAATTGTGAGTCACACCAAGCTTTCCCATCTAACTTTGTTTTGTCCTATTACATATTTTCTTATCATTTCATTAATTTCTTTAATTATATATGTTCCTTACGTACTTTTAATGAAATGGTAACTTTTATCTAAAAAAAATTAATTTCTTTAATTATGCCTTGTTTCAAAAAAAAAAAAATATATATATATATATTTAATTATGCCTCATTATAATATATACTTTTCTCACTTTAGTCTACCCCATAAAAAACGAGCGACTCTACATTATTAGTTGTTTTGTGAGATGTTTAAAAAAAAAGTTGTTTTATGAGATGCAAATGGATATAATTTATGAGAAATAATAGAAGCACATAATTTATTTCACCAAGCATTTCTATCTAACCTTGTTTTGTCTTATTAGCTTGTCCATCTATTTTAGTGTTTTTAGTATTTAAGGGGATGTTGTGAAAAAAAAATGCAGCCTACCCTTAAAATGATTAGATAAAATATCTAAAACTTCTAAGTAACAAGAACGATAAATAGATTAGGGAGAAGAAAATTAAACGCCGGATTGATACTGATTCATCCAATGTGGGCTACGTCCAGTTCTCTGCTACCCTTGCACGTTCTACTAAAATGTTAGGAAGAATCTCCCAAGAGTTTACAAGCCCCTTACAATGATTTCTCTCTGATATCCCTCATACAGAAAACGCTCACGAATCACTCTACAAGCCTTTCAAACTCTCGAACGGATACACAAGTATTTAGCTCTCAAATTCTCTTTTCTTGGAGAATTTCTCACGACTCTTTATTTGTGCACACCAATCAAATGACCTATCTATCTCTATTTATAATAGATGGTATGACAAAAACTAAAAGGGAATGGGAAAATAAAAAAGCCCAAACTAAATAGGGGAAGGAAAAAGATTTTCTCCTTGGTTTGGCTCCATAATCCCAACAATATCCCACTTGGAGACAAAGCAAGTAGTATGTCTCCTCTGCAACGGTAGCGACTCCTCTATAGTCATGAAGAAGTCCAACTGAAGTTGCACACAACTTCAATTTATCAACAGGAACGACCTTGGTAAACATATCCGCTGGATTCTGACAACTCAGAATCTTTTCAAGTAACAACATTACATCTTCCAATGCTGATCTGATAAAATGGTATCTTATTTGTATATATTTCGCTCTCAAATGAAACACTGGATTCTTTGCTAAATGAATAGCGCTCTGACTATCATAATGCAAGGTCCTTTTTTCCAATCTCAAGTCAAGTTCTTCCAAGAAAGACTGAAGCCATATCATTTCTTTGCTTACTTTAGTAACTGCAACGTACTCAGCTTCTGTAGTAGAAAGTGCAACTATCTTCTGTAGTTTTGAGACCCAGCTAATCGCAGTATTACCCAACGTAAAAACATATGCGGTAGTACTCTTTCTGCCATCTGTATCCCCTGCCATATTTGCATCTACATATCCCTGCAGTTTAAAATCTGATCTTTTAAAGTGCAGAGCATAATCAGTCGTCTTCCTCAAGTATCTGAATATCCACTTTATAGCCTACCAATGTTGCTTTCCTGGGTTACTCATATACTTGTTGACAACTCCCACTGCATGTGCAATATCGGGTCTTGTACAAACCATGGCATACATCAAGCTTCCTATAGCTGAAGCATATGGCACTCTAGCCATATGATCTCTTTCCTGCTCAGTAGTTGGTGAGTGTTCTTTAGATAATTTAAAATGACTAGATAAAGGAGTACTCACAGGTTTTGCATTTTCCATGTTAAACTTGTTCAATACTTCATTAACATACTCTTTCTGTGACAGTGTCAAAATACCATTTTTTTCTCTTTATCCTCATCCCTAGGATTTTTTTGGCAGCTCTAAAATCTTTCATGTCAAATTCTTTAGATAATTTAGCATTTATCTTCAGAATTCCCTCTTTGTTTGGTCCTGTTATCAACATGTCATCAACATATAGCA